TTAATAAAAATAATTCCAGTGATATTTTATGAGTAGAGGCCGCATAACGGATTCCATCACCGAATTTCGTCCTACGCGTGTCGTAAGAGGTGACTATGTGAAATGCCAGCAATTTTTATGGCTTTTATTTCTGATACACGGTACACGGTATATTATTTACGTCAGATGTAAAATACTCAGACAGTCGAAGGAATGCAGCGTCAAAGGCGTGAGACGCCTGGTACTGCGATCGTCAAACCAACTTCCGGGAGTTCCCTTGAAAGGGGAGATGTCAGAGTACTGGACTCTGAGTACCTTTAAGGAATGATAAAATATTAAATAGGGTGGCAAGCGAGCATAAAGTCCACCTGGTGGTAAGTGGATACTGTAGCCCATAGAAATCTATATTTACCCTCGATTAAGAATCAAAACGCAGATGCATTGCACCCCTGAGGACTAAGATGGAATGCCTCGTTTCCAGTAGAAAGGGGTCTCCGAATCTCTACACTCACCATGCGAAACACATCAGTATTAAGCTGTTATTTTACGCTGGTTTTTTCCTGGTGTTCTGTGTCATAATATGACAGTTTCAAAAAAAAAAGAATTTAAATTATTTATTTTTATCGTAAAAATTAAGTAAACACTGTTATATTTTTCAAATTTTCACCCGTGGTTCCTCGCGTTTAATGAAAATCCCACAAACTTTTTAATAATAAAATTATAATTTTAAATGGCAAAAATAAGTTAAAGCAAGAAATGTTTTAAATGAAGAAAATACGTGCCGGTTTATTTAAAGTACTATGGTAAGTAGGCTACGGATGCGATGTCATTTCTAGGGACTACAATGCAATGCCTTACAGCCAGTAATTATACTGACTGTGTATACTTTTCGGAGCGGAACACAGCACTGCTCTTTTGGTGGTATTAGCCCACAAGAACTCCTAGGCAGGAAAGAAGTCCAAGCACCTGGTAAATATACTACTAGGTATATGCGTTTTAAATGTCAGTCTCTAAGGTAGCGTGGCCGAGCGAATCCCACCGCTGCCAGTATTTTTGATAAAGATATGGTTTTCTGGTTTTATATCTATTACATAATTGAGACTGATTCTTTATTAAAGTAACAATATGAGATTATAGATTAGATTTAATTGAAAGGATTTTTTGATATGATACATATTTATACAAAGTATAAAGGAATATTCCGTAAACAAAAAAAAATATTCTATGAATAAATAATATACTAGTACTTAATAATACATAATATACTACTACGCTATGTCTACTCAAATTTGACTATTTAATAAGCAGCCCTAACCAGAATTTTAAGATAGGAAAGTCCAGCCATTATGCGCGGATTAATGTTCAGACCACTCAGAAATTTGCTTAATTGAGATTGTACTCTTGAGCGTAATTGCGTAAAATAATTTAATTTTATCGCCTTACAGCAAACATGAAAATAACATTAGGGGCATCAGTTGTGTTTCAGAAGCTTAATATTGCTGTGTATTGTGTATTGAGTGAGTCATACACACACACACACGGCCTCCCCATAGTTTGCCTCGTAAGGGGGATAGTTGCCATTGTTGGCGGGCGCTGTTGCTGACACCCACGAGACGATATGGGTTAGAGGATATTCTTACACCGCCACAACACGGTTTAGTGTACAACATCACGGAGTAGTGGTTATCTTTGAATAGAGGTAACTTATTAAAGCCACATTTTTCAATGGTCAGATTAAAGTTATTGATACGAGTATAATAAAATGTACATAAACCTATTAAAAATTACAGATGTGTAAATATAATTGTTCACTTGTTTCACTTTTGTTTTATTTCAGGTTATAATTTAGAAGATGGATAGCTTTTAATTCTGATAAATAAATAATCGACAATATAATGATTTCTTGTATTTACGCGAACACTAGACATTGATTAAAACTTCTGCACGAAAATTAAAAATAATTAAAAGTAAAATTAAACGCGATAAAACCCGTAAAAGTAGTTTTAATCAAAATAATCGACAAACTGAAAATTAAAAAAGATACTTAATTAAATTTCTAGCAATAATAAACACTACCTAATAACACATTCTAACAAAAGGAAAAACTAAAACGAACTCGGTTTTTACTATTTGCTGAAATACGCGAACTTTAACAATTAACACACTAGAAAATAACTAATTTTACTTACGAGTTCTGTAATAATATTTTACCTTATTTTATTGTTTAGGAAAACTTACAGCTAAGATGATATTAAGCTAAGATGAAATAAATACAGGAAGAAAGAAAATCACAATTTCTCACAGATGCGCGGATGTCGTAAGAGGCGACAGAGGGAATGAAACAGGAGACGCAGCAGCATCTTACTTACTGTCTTACCGTTAAAAAAGAAAAATAGTAAAAAGCTGCGGATGCCAATCCGACTTTCGAAGCGTGGCAACTATGGCAAAACTATGAGGTAATACTTTGGGAGGCCTTTGTTCTGCAGAGGACTTTTTATAGGCGTAATGATTGAATGTTATAACATGTTAATGTAATAACTATATACAAATAGTAAAATATAAAATAGGCAAAATATTTTGGTTTAAGTAAACTTATGTTATGAAAGTTTATCTCTGTGCTGTAAAAGTATATCACATGTCAATATGACTCCACTACTACAAGATTATTTTCATATTTTTTTAAATAAGTATAAGATGGTAATTATAAGCTATAGGATTTAGATATCTACATTTACCCCCCAGATCAAGATCAAGAATTAAAATGCAGATGCGTTGTCACCACTGAGAGCTAAGGTGGATGGAGAGAAAAGGGTCTCTGGTTCTCTTAACTTACTGTGTTGTGGCGGTATAAGAATATCCTCTAACCCATATCGTCTCGTGGGTGTCAGCAACAGCGCCCGCCAACAATGGCAAATATCCTCCTTATGAGTTATGAGGCGATCTATGGGGAGGCCTATGTGTGTATGTATGTGTGGAATTCCACAGGCTGTAAAGAATAATTCAGTGAAAGAAATAATGATAAGCTTGCTTTAAACAACAACCAAGATAACTTAACTTTGATTTTTAAAACTTGAACAACGAGTGTTGAATGTTTAAGATGGAAAGAACAAAAATGCAAAGATCAAAAGTCAACGCGATTGAATTTATGTACGTTTGTGGTTGATCTGTGATTAGATTCTATTAAGCGAACAATGTAGACATAAATTATAAATTATTAAAAATATACTTAAAACATCATCCAATATCGGTTTTTCATGCCACCTAATTCCAACCGGACTACAGATGTAGTTTCATGAAACTGAAAATTTCTTTCACAAATCGAGTTGAAGTTGAAAAGCATCTTACTTACTAGTGTACTGTTAACATTCTCAAGTTCTATCTAACAAATACCCGAGCATCGCTTATATACTCCGCACTTAAATGTAAAATTATAAAAAAAACGTACGTACTTAATTTCTAAATGAGGCACTATGAAGCTAACGAGAAATAATGAACGTAATTAATTTCGCCGTAATTTATTGAGACTGCATAACATCAACCGTGGCTCTGAGTACCACGAGTTCAAATCCCGCACGGAACAAGTATTCGTTTGTTCTGCAAATAATTGTTGCGGATCTGGATATTTGTTATTATGTTATTTATGTATGCTAACTGCCTCCACGACACAGGAATAAATCTATACAAATATGGTTGTAGCACGAATGGCTCGGCTCGACAGATACAGAGTCATTTTTACTGAGAACGGAGCATTGTAGCTTTAGTCCTTTGTCCTCATGGGTGACTACGTAGGTACATTTTCATATCATTCTTAATCTAGGATAAATTTAAATGTCTATGGACCATAGCATCAACTTAACATCAGGAAGATTGTTTGATCGTTTATCACCCTCGTTCTATATAACCTAATAATAATAATAATTAATATTTATTTTTGCGCCTCACCATGTAACGGCGCCGGGTCTGGGCGTCTCCCGTTAAATGACGCCCTGTATGTATGGATGATGGAACACAGAAGATTGCGCAAAGGGCCGCTGCCTGGAGGTCGCCAGGGCGCGTCTGGAGCTGGCGCTGGACGCGACAGCATGCGAACCGCCAGCCGAGCGCGAGGTGCTGCACGACCACCCAGCAGCCCCTCGCATCCATCGTCCCCACCAGCTTGCTTGGTGTCGGCAGGGTCTTCGCAGACCCAGCAATCGGCACCCGCCACTGGTGGAGTACGCCGCATGCGATGGACCATCAATATGAATACAAACGCATTGCGGGCGTATTTTAGGGCGAAAGGGGGAGAAACTGGAGGTTTCACGTATCGGGCTAGGATGCATCGTCTTTTTACTGAGCTGGAGCCATCTATTACTGTCACCGAGCAAAACCTGGCAGACCGAGTTCGGTATATCTTACGCTCAATTATATTTGATGGCGCCGAACTCGAACGGCTACGACGTGAGGCTGTTCCCTCATCAAATGAAAACGCTACGACTAAGGGTGCGGTGCCACAAGTTGCAGAACAACCCGCACACGTCGATGCCGCCGTGAATACCCCAGTGGTTGCTGATTCAAATGATGATGGAACATTCATCCAGGAACTAGAAATAGAGCAAATGAGGAGTACATTGGAAGAGGCGATTATGGAAACGCGCAGTACGCCTCTCGAAAATCGACCGCGACTTCCCCCGCAAAGCCCTAAGCAAGCGGAATCGGGCTGTCGTGAGAGCTCTGAACCCAATGCTGGTGACCCATTTGAAAGCCAGCCGGGACCTTTGCGAGACGGACTCAATTCTCTTTGGCGCCGCACTGACAGTCTGCCGTATCATAGGCGCCAAACTTTCCACGGCTGGACGCACTACTGGACAAAGTAGTGCTATCCCAGCCTGGAGAACAAGAATTGAAGAACGTATCGCAAAGGCTAGGCCCTCATCGGCAGACTGATATGCTTCAGGTCAGGCAATACCAGCCCAAGGATTGTGCGCACCGTCAGGATGGCGTTTGCTGGGACAAATGTTAGTTTGTCCCAGCCGGATATAATGCAAAAACTGACGGAGCGCATAGACGTCCTGAAGCAGAGAATCGCTGCTTGGGGAAAGCGAATTCGGCGATATACCGAGAGGTCGACACGGTGCAACCAGAATCGTCTCTTCCAGAGTGATCAGAAGAGGCTCTATAAATTATTGGAGCGACCAATGGTAAGTGGAACGGGCCCAGTACCGAATCAGGCCGACACGGTCGCACTCTGGCGCAGCCTGTGGTCAGAGCCCGTAAACCACAACGAGGGCCCTTGGATGGAAGTTGTGGCGAGTCAGTGTGCGGGTATTACGCCCATGGACCCCGTCACCATAACGCCGGATGACGTAGCTGAGGCGGTCCGTAGGGCCCCGAACTGGAAAAGTCCGGGACTCGACGGGCTGCATCACTACTGGCTGAAGGGGTTCGTGGTGTGTCACACTGTGCTCGCCCGACAAGTTTCAAGAGGTTCTCAACCAGAAGTCGCTCCCGAGCCTCTTCAGTACTGGGATCACCCATTTGGTTCCTAAAGATCAGAGTGCCACAGACCCGAGCAAATACCGCCCCATCACGTGTCTACCGACCATATACAAGACACTAACTTCCATTTTAAGCGCGAGAATCACTCGTCACCTGGACTCAAATCAGGTGATGTCGCGCGCTCAAAATGGATGTCGGGGCGGTGATCGTGGAACCAAGGAACCACTCCTCATTGACGCGGTCGTAGGCAAAGTGGTGAAACGCAACCGTCGGAACTTCTCTGCCGCCTGGATAGACTACAAAAAGGCGTTCGACTCGGTGCCCCATACATGGCTAAAGAGCTGTACAAGATTGACTGTACAGTTAGAGACTTCCTCGGGCAGTATATGGGGCAGTGGAGTACGATCCTTTGTCATCTGGGCGAGCGGATGATGGCTGCGGAGAACCACATAAGGATAGGAAGGGGTATCTTCCAGGGCGATTGTCTGAGTCCAATATGGTTCTGCCTCTCTCTGAACCCTCTCAGTACCTTACTGGAGGGCTCCGGGAGGGGATTTCAGCTACGGAAAGGAGGGACAAAAGTAACCCACCTTTTCTATATGGGTGACCTCAAGTTATTCGCCCCCAGTCGCTCCCATCTTATGGAATTGCTAAACATCACTTGTGAATTTAGCAATTCTATTGGAATGGAGCTTGGGACGGATAAGTGTGCGGTACTCCATGTTGAGAAGGGTAGGGTTGCTAACTCTGAGGACATAGACTTATCTATGCCCGTCAACTTAAGGACCCTTTCCGAGGCTGAAACATACCCATACCTGGGTATGTCACAGAACATCGGTATCGATGAGGCTGGTATGAAGCAGTCAGTTTGTGACGTGTTTTATGCACGATTGACCAAAGTGCTTAATTTTGTCCGGTGTGAATAAGACACAAGCATATAACGGTTGGGTCATACCTGTCCTTATGTATACCTTTGGCATACTCAGGTGGACTCAGACTGAACTTAACGCCCTGGATAGAAAAGTCCGCGCTACCATGGCGTCCCACAAGATGCATCATCCGAGATCGTCGGTAATGAAAGAAAGAACTATTTATTTGATAATCACACTTTACATACAATTTTTGAAATTTAAATATAAGTTACAATGGACAAAGAATATGCATGCAGAGGTGTAAGACTGCATACGCATTAAAAATTATTTAATAAGCAGAACATGCATGATGTTATTCAATAATGACACAAAAAAATTAAATTAAGTTAAAATTAAAATTAAATTAAAAAAAAGAATTTTAAGATAAAATGTGACATCAAATAGGTCTCCAACTCAGCATAATGCTGCAGAGGCAGCGCTGGTTTTCAGTTGGAACCTTGTGACTTCACTGACGAGTCGGTGTGTGAACCTTGAATTACGAGTAACTACAACTTATAGACTAATAGTAATTAGGCAGTGGGTTAAAGAGTAGTGCTAACGTACACAGTTAACACAGACATACTGTATTAATATCAATATCAATATAAATGGTGTGTAGTACATACACTATACATATACTTACATAACATATTTGGTTCTATGGGGAAGATAAAGCAAAGTGGAAATAAAATTTGTGATTTTAGTACATATATAATTTATATTCTGTACTCAAAGGGACACGCCACGTTGCGAGACGAAATAAAAAGTGAGATTAAAAATAAATAAATAATAAATGATCATTCATCACATATGTAACAGAAATAAACAATAATCAATAATATTTGAACATGATGTAAAACAGTATGAATATTATTACTATTTTGCGTTCTAAACGTAATTATATTACGTATTTAGAACTTAATAATGAGGCTGTACTTGCCGCGAAAGCATGGTGGGCGTGGCTACTTGAGCGCACTCACCATGCACAATCGCGAAGTGTGCAGCCTCCGTAATTACTTCCTGGCGAGATCGGATGATCCATTCTATAAGGACGTTATTTCTTGTTATAAAGGACTTACCCCTCTATCCTTAGCCAACGAGCAATGGCAAGACCCGGCAGTGCAGACAATTTCCGACCGGGAGACCGTATGGAAGGAGAAGGAGCTCCACGGGAGGTTCTACAAGTCTCTACATGGGCCTTTCGTAGACACAGTAACCTCCCTCCACTGGCTACGCTTTGGTGACCTCTTCGGGGAAACCGAGGGTTTTGTCTGTGCAATACAGGATCAGGTTATCAAGACCAACAACTATCGGAGATACATCCTAAAGGATGGCACCATCGACATTTGTCGAGCTTGTCGCCATCCCGGTGAGTTACTTAGGCATGTCATCTCCGGTTGTTCGGCGCTTTCTAACTCTGAGTACTTACACAGGCACAACCTAGTAGCCAGAATTCTACACCAGGAGCTCGCTCTGAAATACGGTTTCGTGGATCGGAAATTGCCGTATTACAAGTACTTGCCGGAAGCCGTGCTCGAAAATCATAGCGCCAGGCTCTATTGGGACCGGGTCATCATCACAGACAGGATTATTCTTGCCAATAAGCCTGATATTGTGCTGATGGACCGGGCACAGTCAAGGATATTTTTGGTCGACATTACCATTCCGTATGACGAGAACCTCGTGAAAGCCGAAACAGTTAAGCAAACAAAATATCTGGACCTGGCTCACGAGGTGACCGACATGTGGGGTGGTCTGCCGATCGAAATTATTCCTGTAGTCGTCTCTGCAAACGGGCTAATCCCAGTCAGCCTCTCGGGTCATCTGAGGCGGCTGGGACTACGTGACGGACCGTTCCGGGCTCAAATGCAGAAGGCGGTGCTCCTCGATACCGCCCGCATCGTCCGCCAGTTTCTTTCCCTTTCCCCCTAACCCTCGGCCGTTTGCTCTCCCCTGCCGAGGGCCTCCATCTGGTTGGGCTTTTATTTATTTATGTATTTTTATATTTGTTTTATGTTATTGATATTTATGTATATTTATCTTTTCATTTTCATTTATAATTATATATTTATAGAACCCAACCAGATGAGAAAACTGTATAGATACCCCATAATAATAATAATTTTATTTCAGATAACCAAGTGATCCATAAAATTTGTTAGTAAATATGGAACTTATAACCTATGTTAGTACCTAAATCTAATTCTTAAATATAAGCGCCTTATTAACTAAACATAGGCGGTAATATTGCCTAAGGAGGAATGAGTCGTATCTTTCAGCAATTATTCTCATGATGGAGTTGGAGCTATCCCGCACCCTGCCAAGCAACGAGGCTGTTTTCTTTCTTATAAGGGCGTAATAGTCATCTGTACGCACCTTTGCAAACATGCCTGATGCACTGCAAAATCGGGGTAGCCCCAACAAGATCCTGAAGCCATTATTATACTGGAAACGTAAGGTGTCGACAGTCCGCTGTGAATAATTCGACCACAGGCTGCACGTGTAGAAAACTTGACAGTACGCTTTAAATAGTGTTATCTTTACTTGTTCACTACACCGCGCAAACCTACGTGCCAACATATTACATCGGACTGCCAGCGCCCTACGTTCTCTTTCAATATCAACATTGTCACTTAGGTCATCGGTAACAAAATGCCCTAGGTACTTAAATTTATCAACGCGTTTTAATTCAATGTCATTCAATTTACTTGCAGGCACATTTTCTGGGCTTTTACAGCCAACGGCCCTAAACACCATGAATTCGCTTTTATTACCATTGTATCGCAAGCCATGGTTTAACGCATACTTCTCACATATCTTAAGGAGTTCTCTGGTGGCCTTAACCGTGGGACTCAGCAACACCATATCATCCGCGTAACTTATGTTGTTTAAACTTACATCGTCGATACGACATCCGACTTTTTTGCTGCTGAGTTCAACGATTAGGTCATTTATGTACAGGTTGAAAAGCTTTGGTGACGTAATTCCTCCCTGTCTGACCCCACATTGCAATCTGTACCTTTCAGAGAACTTATCGTCCCATCTCACATTATTATACTGATTATTGTACCAGTACTGAAAAATCTTCAAAAGATCAGCTGGAATCTTTTTCTGGCGTAGCTTATCCCATAATATGTCGTAATTTACAAGATCAAAAGCTCTGGAGAGATTTTTAAAAAACATGCATATATAGGTGAACGTCGCTTTGTGTAATATTCAACAGTGTGCTTTAGGGCTAAGATAGCATTCTCAGTAGACAATTCAGACCGAAACCCAAACTGTGCATCGTGCAACTCAATATAACTTTCCAGCTGTGTATCCAACAGGCTGTCAAGTATTTTAGCCATAATTGTTGCCAAAGATATGGGTCGATAATTACACTTATCTCCTACGTCACCTGTTTTGTTTTTAATTATAGGCACAACTATTGTCCGCATAAGGTCGTGAGGCAGATACGAATGACAGAGACATGAAGAGAAGAACGTAGCGAGTAATCGAGGCAGGTGAGGTCCGGCATGCTGCAGGTGCTCGATGCTGAGGGAATCATGGCCGGGAGATTTCCCCCTAGTCATATTTTTAATGATAGCTGCCACTTGTTCAGGTGTAAAACGAATGAAGTCATGACTGCCATGATACCTCTCATCTCCGGGCATCGGCTGCGATGTAACTAGCAACGACTCTATTTTAAAATTCTCTGCAAACATATTAGCTATGCTAATAGGTTTATTTACACCACCAACGCACACAGGCAGGGTAAGCTTAATAACAAGTTTGTTGGTGGCTTTCCAGAATTTTTTGAAATTATTTGCCTTACGATGTGATGCTATGATATCGAGTTGAATTTGCTCTTGATGGTTCTGACACCATTTTAGTTTGCTCTTAAATATTTTACGTGTTCGGCACATATCGTCATATATAGGACCACTTCTTGGTTTGTTATGCCACAGCCATATGCGATATTTAAACCTAGCCATCACATGTGCTTCCCTCACATGTCTGTTCCAACCTACAATACGACCACTATGCTTATAACATCTATGGTCATCATAACTCTGTATAGCGGCTTCAGATAAAATAGTAACAATATTATTGTACATTTCATCAAGCATTAACCTATGATGGGTATTGTTACAGTGTGA